ACAGAATAAATAGTATTCAGCATTCATGAGCCAAAGTTGATACCCAACAAGCTGTAGGAACCAAACTGAATGTAACAAAGAACTATCCAGAGTAAAAGATGGTGCATTCCTAGATGATAAGATCATCTTTGTATACTACTGTATGTTAGTTAGTCCCAACCTCACAGCTCAAATTCAGGTCATAGGACCATCTCAGGCTACAGTAAAGAGCCATCCTCTGAAGAAAGCAAGGGAGACAAACTCTAAAGTGTTACATATGATAGGACTAGGAGTAAAAGTCATACATGACTATTAGCTCCCTCTTACCCCTCACTCCAATGCCATTATGCTATTAGCAACAAAAATGTTTCCAAAATTTCCTCCCATCAAAAACTGAAGGGGAAACCAGGGAAGGGTTTTCTTTTTTTCTTCATAAAGGGCTGATTTTTCTTTTTAAAAAAATATTATATGCATGTATGTTTTTACATCATTCTTCACTTTGTACTTTTTCATCCCAGTTGTAATTTCCATGGACTTCCCCCTACCAATTCACCCATGTGTCCTTACCACAGTTCCATGTGCTCTTACCACCCAGTTTTTATCCAAGTCCCCTTTTCTTCCCCATAGAATGTCTCTGGTTTATAGTTGCTTGTTGTTTTTTGATTTTGCTTTATCGCGATTGCTTCTTTTTTCCCCTCCTAATCCCTTGCACTCCTGCTATGAGTAAAACCATCCAGTATTTCTTTTTTTTTTTCTGGCTCATTTCACTAAGCATGATCCCTTTCAGCTCCATTCATGTTACCACCAATGGCATGAGTTTATCTTTTTTGATTGCTGAGTAATATTCCATTGTGTATATGTACCACATCTTCTTGATTCAGTCATCTATTTTTGGGCATTTGTGCATTCCACATCTTTCCTACTGTAAAAAGGGCAGCAACAAACATCAGGGTGCAGGTGTCCTTTTGAATTAATGTTTTTGTGAAGGACTGATTTTTTTTCTCTCTTGAGCATCCTTATGTTCCACTTATGTTTTAAAAACCATCTGTTTACTTCCCTTTAAGACTGTCCAGTTGGTATTTGCTGATACTTGAAAAGTCTTGAGGGTTTTCAAGATAACAGAGTTAGACAATCTGGAAGCAGGGTCTTCCACCTTTCCTCTCCCTCCACAGATGGCATGTGAAATGGTGATTATTCTTTGTCTCAGAGTCTTAATTACTTACCTACTTCAGGATTCTGGCTGTTATTTTTCAACTTCTTTGTGCCTATTTCTGAGCTTATATATTTGTCTCATTTTCTCTAGATCTTGATGTTTTGGTTATAGCATTTCTATCTTTGCATCTGTATTTCAGATTGCACTATATTTAAATTTCAGTCATCTGCACAATCTGGGTCACAGTCTCTGAATTTTGATTTTTTTTTAAAGATTTATTTTATTTATTCATACAGAACTGGGTACAGGCCAGAGATGCGAGGAGAGGTCTGCCACACCATGTGGTCACCTCCGGGGCAGGCGGGAATCGAACTCATGCGGAAGCGGCTTTAGATTCTCAGTGCTGTGCTCTAACCCGCTGCGCCACCAGGGAGGGCCTTGATGTTTTTTTAAAACCACTTTCTAACCACTTACTCTGCTTGATATTTTGTCAGCACCTACATACATACACACACACACATGTACATGCACACACTTATAATTTGCCTGTCTCTTCCCTCTAGAGTGTCATTTGTTAGGAAATACTTGTTGAACCAACCTCTTTCAGATTACTGACTCTAGTCAGAGTCTCTACTTTTTGGTCTGTACCTTTGCGTTTCACATTTTTTCAGCACACACAAGTCCTTCTTCGTCTCAGTTATGCCTTTCAGTTTCAGTCCTAGTCTCGAGGGCCACCGACTCACACTGGTCGTCATTCTATACTCGCTGTGCCGCGTCGCCCTCTGGCTGAGGACCAGGCTGCTGGGCTCTCCGTAGCTGTTTCTCAGGTTCACTCTTGTGGGTTGTCCTGACACCTCGGTGTCCTTCAGCATCTCAAGAGCCGCCTCCCACGCCGCCTCCTCAGCAGACGCACGTGACCGCCTGGACTGCGCCTCTCCTGCCCTGAGGGCGGCGCCTCTGTGGCCACAGCAGCCGCCTCCCTGAGCTCACCGCTTCCGCTGGCCCGCGCGACCCCGCCCGCTGATGCCAAAGAGCCAATCCGTGAGGACGCTTACTGGCCCCGCCCCGGCGCCCTCCTCGGAGCGCGCCCCGCCCTCCGCCCGCGGCCCGCCCGTCAGTCTGGCAATCAGGCAGGCAATCAGGCAGGCAGGCAGGCTGGCAGGCAGTCTGTCCCAGCGGCCGTAGGTTCTTCAGCATTCTTGCGCCTGGTCGTCTGCCTTCCTTTCCAGTCGGCGGCGGCATCGGCATCCGCGGCGGCACAGTCTCTCCGGGAAGCGCGGCGTGGGCCGAACGGCAGCCGCAGAGGGTCGAGCCCAGTGCGGCGGCGGCGGCGGCGG